CGAGGGATAATCGGTAGAAGAGGAACGATTATAGGACGGAATTCGAACGATCGACCGAATGATCAATTGAAACGACCGCTTTGCCTTTTGCGGCAAACACGGCAAGAAAATAATCTAAGTGGATAATCTGTATTGCTCACTCGAGGGAATGAATTTATTGCGGTTAACTGATGCTCGTTACTCGATTATACGTGAAACGCTTTCCAACGGAATATTTCGTGTCGTTGTGCGGTTAAAGAATTCGGTTATTATTATTATTATTCTCATCGTCGAACAACCACAGGTTCTATCGTCGAGAAAATAAATTTTACGATTTTAAAACTCGCTCGAATCTTCCTAACTTCTTCGTTTCAAATCGTATCACAAGTGTATACGTGCGTGTATTCGGAAATAAACCGTTGGAAAAAAGTTTTTTTGAATATAGCGGTGGAACGCGGCAATTTGGCGGTGAGAGAAACGCCATATATCTTGCTTGCTTGATATCACCGCTTCGCTCGGTCCCTTAAAACTTTCTTCCTTGTTAAAGGGGACAGGAAACGAGATGGAAGAATAAATCGGAGATACGCGGACGAGGTCGTTCACTTCCGGGATCAATTTCCTCGATTAACGCGGACACGCTTCTGCTCTTCTTCCGCTATATAGCGCAGAGAGACCCGTTTCGTCGGTTTCAGAATATCTATTCTGTGTGCACGACGGGACGTGTGCGACAGACACGTAACGTATAACGCGGGCGTTCTTATAATCGAGAGAGCAATCGAGTGCTCTCGCTCGTTTAAAATTTTATAATATCTTGTTTCTCTCTTTTTATTAATTTTTTTTTTTTTTTTTTTTAATTAATATAATCTAACCAATAATCTCTCCGTATTCCTCTCACTCGGCAGCCGTGTGATCCATCTGCGGCGAGTCGACGATGAAACGATTCGAGCTTCGCACTTCCACGAAATCTTCTTTCGGTTTACAATGGGTTTTCGAGGAACGCAGTCTCATTTTGCACGCTGCAAAAATGAAACGATTATGGAAAATTTGTAACAATTTATTATACTCGAATAATTCTTTCTATATTCCCTCCATTATTTATTTTCTTTTTATTTTAATGATTAGAATAGTTGAATAATGAATAATTAATGCTGGTATAAATGATATTAATGTCGAGAATGATCGACGACGATAGAATGTCGTTAACGAAAAAATTGTTAAAAGATACGCGGAGTAATATAAAAATTTATGATATGATCTCGTGTGTATAAAAACATATTTCGATTAGATAAAATTATATCCGAAATGTGTGTGTCGCAAATATTCAGATTAAATTCATACAAATTGATACTAATTATAAAAATTGCACAATATCGTATTACGTATATATGTACATATATATCAATTACCGAAGATTATTTATCGGACTTTCTCTCGTAATAATTACCACGAAATTGATTTTAATTGATTTTTTTTTTTAATTTTTTTTAAACAATTGACAATAAACGAAATATCATTCGAATATGATCGAGTTAAAATAAAAATAAGTTTTTCTGTGCTAAATAATAATTTTCAAATATACAATTCGATCCTATTTATTTCGGTTGAACGAAATGTTCGATTATCTTATGCAAAGAATATAGGTATTTAATACCACAAGGTTGTATTTCAAATATAGCACTGCATATTTTCACTAAACGATATAAAAATACGCACACAAGGTGATTCTACAAACTGGGACAAGCCATAACTCTCTCTTTTAGATGATAGGAAAAAGATCGAGTTTTACGTGATCTTACGAGGCCTCTTATCATTTTGCTCGCGTTAATGCGTTAATGCAAAACAATTACGTATAATAGTAACGCGCATCGCGATACGTTTCCTCGAAACGAAAGCATTTCATACTTTTATAATCTTTATAATTTGTCATAGATTTATTTCTTGCTATTAAACTTGGTAATTTTTTAATAATAATAATAAAAAAAAAAAGATTCGATTCAATGGAAAACGACACGCGATGGTAGAGAATCCGGATCCATAAAAATATCGTAAAACAACGACCTGTGCACTTTCGGAATTATCGTTGCATTTATATATACGTTAAAATTCGTACGACGTATTCGTTCACGTTGCTCACATTGCAAAGTTAAGCTCGACGATATTAAGGCCCGTTATATCGAATGCTCGTGTAACCGCGGTTTTAATCGATTTTCACGGTGATTTTAATCACCGTGAACAGAAATCGTTTTAACTTCGTTTCACCGGTACGTATAATAAACGTGACTGTTCAACAATCAAAACAATCCTCTCGGACGTTGCCAAACGAAAACCAGTATCGGTTCTATCGCTGGAATCGAGCTTTCTGACGTTCGCTAAATATTTAAATTTCCCTCCTAAATAGTACGATTTCGTAAGCGTGCGTCGACTTCGAAGGTTTCGAATAAAAAAGATACGTAAATTTAGATCGAATAAACATTTTCAAATTCGCTTCTATATCTCGGTGTAACAACATTTTCACAAATATTTCGCAATTTTGTTTAACCTTATGCGATCTCGTGTCAAATCGAATCGATTTTATCTCGAAAATTTAACAATTTTATTCCGGATCGATTTGTAGCATCGAAAAATATCGAATAAAATAAAACGTTTCGTTCGAATTACTCGTTTTAGAGATACGATCGATTTGATCGAATATATTTGAAATATCCAGTGACCAGTTGTTTTTGCGCATCTGTGTTGCGCAATGCGCGATGCGCGAAGAGTGGAGCTAGAGGGGGCAGTGACTGGAAGGATGGATGCCTCGTCACAATATATATTCCGAGACAGTACGAAGTTTGACAAGTGAATCGTACGTACGATTCATCGTAATCATTCTTTTTTTTGCTATTAATTCCTTAAACACATCAATTTCTCGGAACATAAATGTGCTTTTTTCTCTTTGTTTCTTTTTTTTTTAATCTTTGTTTTTAATCGAATGATTCAACGTTAAACGAATGGTGCAAAGTAATCGTTTCCTTAGATTATAACGAAATTACGCGCACCACCATTGGTCATCATTAGTAATGTAGTGGTGTAATGATCTTTTCATTACGTTTCGTTAATTTATTATCATTATTATTCTTTTTTTTTTTTT